CAAGATAAAAAAGCATAATGGTAAATGTCAAAAATACAAAGAAACTTCAAAAAAATCAATGTAACCATCAGCATAATCAGAGGAATTTAGTAGTAACTGGAGGGTAGGTAAGTGTATAAAAATCTGATCTTTTACATTATATAAGTTTTAAAAAATGCAGTAAATACTTCGAAAAATTAAATGAAAATTATGAAAAAAAATCAAATAAATTAAGCAGTAATTTAAGAATAAAAGTCTTTTTAGAATTATTCAAAAAAATACAATTGTGTACGGTATAAAAACACGATTTTGTATAAGAAATTAATACTAAAACATCAAAAAAAGCGGTGAAATTATTTTTAAAAATCTTATAAATTAAGCAATAGTTAAAAGATAAAGAAAGCCTCTGAAAGCTCATCCAAAAAAAAAAAAACAGTAAGTCCTGGATAATGTACTGGAAATACAATTAAATTAATGTAAAATTATAGAAAAAAACTGCTTGTGAGGGATGTAACGGTTGTTTTAGAAGGATTTACTCTGTATAAATCTAAAAAAAACTCGATTTCTAATCTAAAAAATTGAGTGTGATGAGTGTAAGGGTGTTTTTAGAACGGTTTACTTTATAGAAACTCAGAAAAAAATTTGGATTTTTAAATCTAAAAAATTGATATATGCTAAACCCAATGTGAGATTTATATTTTTATCCATTAGGGAGTGAATTTGTATTGTATTTTTTTTGTTAAACCTCAATTTTTTTGATGTATTCGATCCAAAAAAACATTCTTTTACATTAAAGGGTGGATGTAACAGTTGCTAACACAACACTTTCTAAGAAACGTGATCTTTAGTAAGGATAGTGGTTGTCGTCGTTACGATCCTCCTGGGATTTACACTTTATTGCTACTTTTAGAAACACTATCCTCACTTAATTTACTCCCAAGTGTTGTGTTTCTCTATAGCTTTCAATAAAGATTTTTATTGCAATAATTTTAAATACTTGTGTCTTAACTGGCTTCTATAATAAATAAACTGCAACTGGACAGTCTAATGATGTTTTTAGAACGGTTTATTTCTATATAAAATTAAAGAAATTTTGAGGTTTTTTTTGGATTTTTACATTAGATTAGTGTAAAATAATAAAATAAACCCATTTTAATGGCTATTTTTTTTTTAGAAATCCAAAAAGAAACTTGACTTTTAGATATAAGTGTAGGAAAATATTTTTACAGTTTTAGAGATTAGATTCAAAAAAAATTATTTATTATTATTCAATAGTTTTGCATTTTAAATTGTATTTATTTCTTAGATGATGAGCCAAATTTTTTAAATCATGTGGTTTTATAGATCAAGTTAAAAGTGTTTTAGATAATTTTTGTGTCGATTTTGTTGTTTGTATTTTTGGAAAATAAAGAAAAAAATAATAATCTCATTAAATTCTGCTTGAAACTGTGTTGAAGGAAAAAAAAAACCCACAGAAAACAATATAGCTATGATGTCATCTTGCAGAAATGTCATCACCTTGCAGCACTGGTGACAACAACGACCAACAAATAATATCAAAAAACACCTTACAACAAAAAATAACCTATTTTTTTTTATTAATATGAATGTAATGAGCAACTTGTTGGTATCATAAAAAAATATATTAATGAAGAAATCCAATTAAAAAAAAATCTTTCAAAAAATCCACGTGATCGGTCAAATATTTGCATTTTTTTTTTTATTTTTTCAATCTAAAAATAAACATAAATGTAATTAAATTGTGTGTGTTACTAAAGTGTGTTTTTTAATAAAAACAATTAAGTTTTTTTGGTGTTTTTGGTTAATATTTAATGGCGTTTTAGATTAAAAATAATTGCATTTATTAAATCTAAAAAAGCATAAAATTAAATTTAAATGCGTATTTTTTTTTATGAAAAAAAATTTTTTTTCTTGGTTTCTGTATTTTTTTGGATGAATCTCGAATGGTATTTTTATGATAAATAACGTTATTGCATTTCAAATTATAATAATTATTTTTAAAAAAATCAAATAAGAGTATTTCAAAGCAGAAAAAAAAACTTTTTTTTAGATGTAGGAGAAGTCTCTGGGTCGTTCTAAAAAAGTTAAAATAAATATTTTAAAATGTTAAAGAATATAAAATTAAATTATGGATAAATCTTTAAAAAAAAAATTTTATGAAAAGTTCATGTCGGGTTTTGGCATAAATCTCCATTTTAAAAATCAAGTAATCGATATATTTTTTTATTTTTTTTGTATTAATATAGAATCTGATTTTTTCGAGAAAATGAAATAAAGAAAATCCGAAAAAATTCCAAAAATATTACTAAAATTACAACAAAATCAACGAATTGAGTGGAAGTTTCTGTAAAAAACGTCTACAAAAATCGGGATTTTTGGATAATATCTAAAAATAACAATTAAATATTTATGCAGAAAGCAGAGTTAAGTAATTGCACAGTGCAAAAATCTAAAAAAGAAAAAAAAATCAATGAATTTTGTGTAAATTTCTTATCAAGAAAGTGAAATGACTGGAGAATTTAAGGGTAATGTCTATAAAAGTTGAACTTTTTTTAGATTTTTGTTTAAAAAATAGTCTGTTAGGTATGCAAGATAAAAAAGCATAATGGTAAATGTCAAAAATACAAAGAAACTTCAAAAAAATCAATGTAACCATCAGCATAATCAGAGGAATTTAGTAGTAACTGGAGGGTAGGTAAGTGTATAAAAATCTGATCTTTTACATTATATAAGTTTTAAAAAATGCAGTAAATACTTCGAAAAATTAAATGAAAATTATGAAAAAAAATCAAATAAATTAAGCAGTAATTTAAGAATAAAAGTCTTTTTAGAATTATTCAAAAAAATACAATTGTGTACGGTATAAAAACACGATTTTGTATAAGAAATTAATACTAAAACATCAAAAAAAGCGGTGAAATTATTTTTAAAAATCTTATAAATTAAGCAATAGTTAAAAGATAAAGAAAGCCTCTGAAAGCTCATCAAAAAAAAAAAAAACAGTAAGTCCTGGATAATGTACTGGAAATACAATTAAATTAATGTAAAATTATAGAAAAAAACTGCTTGTGAGGGATGTAACGGTTGTTTTAGAAGGATTTACTCTGTATAAATCTAAAAAAAACTCGATTTCTAATCTAAAAAATTGAGTGTGATGAGTGTAAGGGTGTTTTTAGAACGGTTTACTTTATAGAAACTCAGAAAAAAATTTGGATTTTTAAATCTAAAAAATTGATATATGCTAAACCCAATGTGAGATTTATATTTTTATCCATTAGGGAGTGAATTTGTATTGTATTTTTTTTGTTAAACCTCAATTTTTTTGATGTATTCGATCCAAAAAAACATTCTTTTACATTAAAGGGTGGATGTAACAGTTGCTAACACAACACTTTCTAAGAAACGTGATCTTTAGTAAGGATAGTGGTTGTCGTCGTTACGATCCTCCTGGGATTTACACTTTATTGCTACTTTTAGAAACACTATCCTCACTTAATTTACTCCCAAGTGTTGTGTTTCTCTATAGCTTTCAATAAAGATTTTTATTGCAATAATTTTAAATACTTGTGTCTTAACTGGCTTCTATAATAAATAAACTGCAACTGGACAGTCTAATGATGTTTTTAGAACGATTTATTTCTATATAAAATTAAAGAAATTTTGAGGTTTTTTTTTGGATTTTTACATTAGATTAGTGTAAAATAATAAAATAAACCCATTTTAATGGCTATTTTTTTTTTAGAAATCCAAAAAGAAACTTGACTTTTAGATATAAGTGTAGGTTTATATACCAGAGATACTTGCTAAACTCTTCTATTCACATCATTACACTAACCATGAGGTTTATATTCTATTTTTATATTAATTAATGTGTCTTTAGCATATTACTGTACATTTCTGTAAAGTTTTTTGATGTAGAAATCCAAAAACACTCAAATTTCTCCACTTTTATACAGGAATACTGTTCTAAAATCATCATTACACTAACTTCACACAGTTTATTCTATTTATTTTAATGTAAATACATTAAAATAAATAGAATAAACTGTGTGAAGTTAGTGTAATGATGATTTGTGTAAAGTGGAGAAATTTTGATGTATTTTTGGAGCTCTAATCTAAAAAAATTGATTTAAATATAGGATAATGTGCTAAAGATACCATCAACACTTGCAATTTATTAATTTAATGATGTTTTGTTAATTAGCTTTTGGATTATTTTTAGATTTTCATACCTAAAAATTGCACTGGTGTTAACTTTGTATGACTTGACACAGTATTTTTATTATTATTATTTTATACATAAGTTTAGGTTTCAGTAGCCTTCATAAAAGTAGAAAAACAACAATCTTTATCTAAAAAACTGATATATTAATAACACATCAGAGATACATTATTCTATTAATTTAATATACCTCTAGTGCATTGTCTCCACATTTATATCAATATTTTAGATGTAGTAATCTAAAAAATTCAACTTTTCCCTTACTCTTATGTAAAATATTCTAAAAAGATCATTACGCTGATTGCTTGCACTTTACTATAATATTCTTAGAAATATATTTATATAAAATTTAATAAAAAAGTTGAAATTTTTAGATTTCTGTTCTAAAAAATAGATAAAATTGTGATGTAGTGCTCTACAAATGCATAAATTTTTCTTAATGTAATAATAATAAACTATGTATGGAGAGCATAGTGATGTTTTTAGAATATTTTACTCTTGTATGAAGTTATTTTTTAGCCTTCTTGATAAAAAGCACTGAGTTCAGCGTTAATACGATTTTTCTTGTATCAAAAGTACTTTCGACGAGTACTATATCGTCGTCTTCTTTTCTATATTTTTTAGATATCCACATACAAAAAACAGATATAAGCGTTAAATAATGTATATATAGTTCACATGTAATGGTGTTTTTAAGAGTTTATTTATATGAAAGTAAACTGTTTTGGATATTTTTCTGAATTTCTACTTCCTAAAAGTGGATGTAAATGTTAAATAATGTACTCTAGATACATGTATATGGAACAATTTTATTGTTAAAACAATAATTGGTACTAAAAAACATCACAGTTGATTTCTGCAAATGTACAAAGCTCAGACTGACGTACAGGAAATCATAACAATTTAAAATGTTTCTTATGATTTCTTAATAGTTTGTTTTTTTAAAATCTTAAAACCATAAAAAATGAAGTTCACGTACGTATCCAATTCCCAAAAACATATACAAGATCAGTCAAAATGATTTTCACAGGAGACAACTTTGTCATGCAGTTTTTGGGGCTAGTTATAAAGACTGAGATTGGAGAAATTTGTAGAAATAATTAGATTTCATGGATAGATTGGTCGACAGATTAGAGAATGTGGCGTGCAAATTCAACTGCCAAGTGAAGTCCAACCAAATTACGGTAAGGATTTTGATAACAGTTTTTGTCATGGATATAATGTTGAAATCATTTTGTCTAATCTTCTATACTAGACAACTCTCAAATAAAATATTACCAAAAAAGTTATAGTTATGTACATATTCGTATGCGATAACATTAACATGTTTTTGCCACTGGTTCCTCAAGCAATCTTGCAGTTTTTATACATTATATCCATGACAATTTATCAAGATTATAATGTATAAAAACGGCATTGAGAGGACTTATGTAAACTAAACATATCAAATGAAGAAGAGCATAAAGCGCGACTCTCCGTCCTAATTTTAAAAATTATGCTCATGTTTTTTGTATCGCAGTAGAATTTTTGATAAATAAAATGAGATTATATACATTAAAATCTTATATGGATGGGTTTTGATGGTAATTTGGTAGTATTCTGTTGTATGTTTTTGAATACATTAGATGTTAAAATCCAGGTTTCATGTGTTTTTGAAGTGTTGAAGTCATGTTTATAATTCTCAATGTACCAAGACTTTGGTTTTAACTGATAAGATACCTAGACATTAAGACAAAGGTCACACGAAACTAAATAATTAAAACCAAAGATCTACTTCTTCGTCTTCATTTCTATCTGAAGAATCCTGTCTGACAGCCATCTCTTCCTCAGAGTCCGAGACGGCCAGGTCGTTCGTTATAACGTTCTCAGTATTCTCGATCTGCATCTCTTCTTTATTCTGCTGAAATTCATACTGCCCTCTCAGGAGAAAATCAGAAGGATCGTAATTTTCGTCGATGACTTCATTATCTACATTGACAGATTCCTCCTGATACGCGATGTTACCATCTTCCACCACAATCAGACTGTTTTCTTGTTCCACCAAGTCGGACATTTCTCTTCCTTCTTCATCACTCTCGCTGATGCCCAAATCGCTGCCTTCGTTATCTGAATTCTCAGGAGTTATTTGTAGATCTTTGGCAAGAACGCTGCCGTCGTCACCTTCGCCGGTATGTCTTTGGTGATAATAAGACATAGATTCTTCTTCATAATCTCCTTCCATAAATTCTTGATCATCTTTACCCTGAAAAATATTTAAAATTTAATAAAATTATTATAGCTTTTTAATTGTGTTTATATTTAAGTATTAGTTGTAATTTTAAAACTTGTAATTGTAATTTTATAGTGCCTTGACAACCGCATCTAGTTACTTTCACTGTTGTGAGGTTTTGCTTCTAACAACCACAAATATAACCGACAAAAAATTTCTGAATTAAATCCCTTAAATATTAAAGAATTAATCAAAAAAAGAAGACAAAGTCAAAATGTGTCACGTGACTTATTAATGCAGTTCTCAAACTGATATTTTAAACAAACAATTCCAGAGAACTATGCAACGAGAGCATCTCAGAATCAGCAAAAGTGATTGAATCCTCTTTATTGTTTTGCATGTTAATGAGCAATGCGATAATCATTCATCAGAAACGACTATTTTTATCAGATAATGAGTTATACTAATCTGCTGTAAATGAATTTTAAAATGTGTTAAATTTAATTAAAACAGAACGAATGCTTAATCAATATTAAACATGCAGATAAACTGCACCTAGATTATGTAATTACAAATTTGAATGCAATTTTTAACTTGATTATTTGTACAATCAAATTCATTTAAGCTATATTTCCCATATTTTTTGGAAGGGTCAACGACGTCAAATGATATTCTTTAATGCTGCATTTATGAAAGAAACTGTAAAATCTTATGCTAAAAAGAATTCTATAAAAGAGCCGATCTTTAGATTTTATTGATGGATATTGATTTTACAGTTAAACTTATATATGAATTAATTTATGAGGTTCTGAGACAAATGTAAAAAAAATAAACTGAATAACTTATCTATTTTTGAGAACTATCATTAATCAATAATGTATTTCCGCAATGAACAGAAAGCCAAATTCAGTTTGGCTTTCTGTTCATTGGCGTTTATTAATATTAAATGATCTCGATTTACAGGACCTTCCAACTTTTAAATTAAAGAAAAATGTTCATTTTATTCATTTAAAAATACAGAAAACAGTTTTATTAAGTGTAATGTGTTTAATATCTACCAATCTGTGGCATAGTTTATTAATGTTTTGTTTCTTGTTTGCCAGATTGTGGCGAATTGCGCTTTAGCAAGTGTATGTTTTCCTTGGTTTTTAAGGCAATTACCGCTTGACAGAAAGCTCCAAATTTCAAAATCATGTAGATTTATATATTGGCCACATGTTTTTGTGGTTACAAATGGGACTGGAAGTCTTGTGTTGGTGGTGTCAAATTGTTTTGCTGACTCCAATTCCTTAGAGTTGGACAAACAGAAGAATAAAGAAAAGTCTAAGGCTCAGGAATCAGTCATGAAATATTTTGAACCTCAAAAAGTTACCGTATTTGTGACTTTTGAAAAATTCAGGCAATCCATCATTAACTTTGGCTGTAAAAAGTGATATTTCTAAGTTTTCTCCTCTAAAACATTCCTAGACATGAATGGAAAAATAGCTAGAAAGGTAGGGATTTCGTTTGAAAGACATGTCATTAAAACCATGATGGTTAATGAAGCCAAACAGAATTCTGAAAGGTAAATATTTCTTCTTAAAAATGGGTGCCTGTTCTTGTCAAAGAATGAACTATTTTACTGCAAACATTCAGTTTATGAGTGATGAACATAAAATTATTGTAAGAAGCTTATCAGATAGCCATTGTAACTGATAGTGTCTCAACTATGACAAAAGTTGTAAACAAATCAAATGTAAAGAAAGAGAGGGATGAGCTGGAACACCAGGTGAATGAAGAAAAGGAAAATAGTGATACAGATCATTTAGATGAGATGTTTGAAAGAGGTTGAGTGGTTGTCTCTCAAGTATCAAAAGCATATGCATTGTGCAGTCAACATTTTGCAATTGGCCACATGTGACGACACTACATTTAAAGCAGGTTTTGCTTTTAGGCCAAGAATACAGAACTTGATACTCTAGTACCCATGACCGAGTGCCATAATTGACCACAAATCATGAGATATGTGCTATTCATCTAGTGACCAGGTCACTAGATGAATAGCACATATCTCATGATTTTGTGATTCTTGTAGTTGAATCCTGTCCTGGAAGATATGGATAGCTGTAATGTAACAACAGACCATCAATGGGAGGAAGTAGCCCAACTTCAATCTTTGCTCCGAGAGCATTCTTTAAAGAATGGAGTAATCCTAAATTCAAATTAAGTCAAACAGGAAAACAGTATAAGTATATCAGTGGAGTCTAGAGAAAGAATTCTTGTAGATAAGGATGTCCTGCTAACAGCTATTTTTGTAGTAGCCATCTGTATGAAAAGACTTGGAGAGCTGACATAATGTTCAAATTCAACATTCATTTTCCACTTCTGAATCTAGAGATAACGACAAGCATCTGGATTTGAAAGGAAAGGCCAAATGCCATCAAACAGATGCAAACTTTAGATAATAGCCAAAATAACCTGTGAGTCAGATTGCAATATTTCATTCTAAATTTTGTAATATCTTAATGAAGGCTGAAAAAACTTGATTGGACGTCTATCTTAAATAAACTATAACCACGTATTCAGATGATTGTTCAAAAAGTCATCATAGTACCAGCAACAAAAATTAGCAACAAATATTTGTTTTCTGGACTTTGGTTCATTAAATCTGATCTTCATCTATCTACAAAAGGGGACCTGATAGATGCCATTCTACTTCTATGAACAAATTCAGTGCAAGTAATGCCATAACAGTAAGTTTTATGCAACTAACTTGTAAGTTGTAGTTTTTAGTAAGTTAGATTAATGAATTACAAGTCAGTGATAAAATAGTGGATAATATATATATATATATATATAACACCTTCCATTAAATCAATATTGTGTGTCAAAGAACTGTTTCTACATAATTTCAGCATAATGTAACCAAGGTGTAAATTGTCAGGGTCAAATGTTATTAGTCATTTAGATGTATGATCAATCTAAACTTCACTTAGTGCAGACTATATTTAAAAAAGTTTCTATTTTTATTTATTCTCACTTTCTTGATTCTCAAAAAGTGACCAAGGAATTGTTTTTACATTAAGTTGAGATACATAGTAAATTGCACTAGCAAAGAAAGACAATCACAGTACTATGCTACCTAATGCTTGTTGAGAAATAGAACATTTTGTAATGGTTTATACTCTGGATTTCATACCTGAAAATGGTCTATAAAATAGGATGAAAACAATCAGTCAAATAAAATCTCTCAGCAAGCATTAGATGGTATAATAATAAAATCCGCTGCATTCGTGAAACTCTGTGTTGTCTCCATATCAAATATAATTAATGCCACAAAATTGTAAGCATTCTCATTATTGGAAGGAAATCCAGCTTTCAAGAAACAACTCTGAATTGATGGCAAAACCTATCTTCAAGCACAGAGCCATGTGGTAGATTTTTTCAGTATGATGCAAGTCTTTGAAATGTCGCCCTCTTATGGTGCTGCCTGATGTGACTGCTTCTCTGTATCATAACACGGCATAGTCCTGTTCAAGTACTTGAACTCATAAAATCCAAGTTTCTTTGTCAGCATTTCAAGTAATGCTCCGCTACTGTGGATATTCATTTAGTCTCATAACTTGTCGTCTTGTGTCACTTAGAATCAGTGTTGACTGATGATGTTTAACATTTTAAGCAATGCTCCACTATTGTGGGGAGCATTGCTTAAAATGTGCTTTATAACCTTTGTCTGTAATATGAATCACACTTTGATGAGAGAGATTTAAAAATTAAAGCAACATTTTGGTGGTAAAATATGATCTCGACATTCTCAAGAAGCAAAAGCACTTTCCTGTTTACACATTCCAATCTTTTTGTTTGATTTCCATTCTATTTCAAATTATGTTGTCTATATTCTTAAAATATCTTTGTTTGACAGCCTTTCCAACCACCAGGGAGTATTTGCATTCGTCACTCATATTCGCACATATCAGAATTGTTAGTTATTCTTTTGCTACTCTGTGACCTTCAAGGATGAAACATGTTCCATTAGTAAAGTTTTGTTTGAAAGAGTGTGAAAGAACAATCCTGTTTCATCTGTGTTTTAAATATTTTCTGAAGAATAAACAGTAATAACAAAAGTAAGTTTAGCTTCTACTTGCTACTGCATTGCAATTGACTCTAGTCAATTCTCCCAATAGCTTATCGAGCTGCTTTCAAAATTTTTAAAATCATTCATTTAAAGCTTTTAAATTCAGCACAGGTATTGAGAATGACTCTAGATGCTTTTCTGATAAACTGACTTTCTAATCTGTTAAAAGTTAAACTGTTCTTCCACAATAATTCCACAGCAATACATCAATCATAGATATTTCTATAAGTATTCAGAAACCATTTAATAACTAATCCAGAGTAGGGCAAGTAGCCTACACAAAGGGTCCATCATCTTGTTTATGATACACTCAACCACTAAATGAAACTATATTTATCACCAATTGGCTATTTAGAAATATTTCAATTTTCCATAAATAGTGGCAGCTCATGTCATCTAATATGGGATGTTTTCATAGGAACATGGCACATAACTCTAATAGAATCATTTTGACTTTGTATAATTAGGGTTGTGTGCTGTCCACTCTCCTGCAATAGTTCCCTCATATTAGACACCATCAGCCAAGTAGATTCTAAGTAACACATTATGAGACTAAATGTATGTCCATAGAACTGTTTTCAACCAACCTCATTGATGTTAAAACAATGTTTTTCAATGCATTAGTGCATTGAAAAACATTGTTTCTGCTAATTATGGTTGTAAGATGCACATACCTTTTATAAACTGAAATAAACAGATATATTAAGCTAATTAATACAATTGTAAGTTAGCCAATGTAGAATCTGTAATATGTCATAAACCATATTACAATAATAATAAGCCATGCAATCAAATCAATTTTAAGAACTCAGATTATTGAGTTTCTGAAACTGATTTGACTGCAATCACAGATACTGCAAACAAGGATGTTAACTCAATGGTTATCTTCTACATCCATTAAGGAAGGTCAAGACATCAATCATACAATCTGTGTGTCTCTGTGTCCATAATAAACAATATCCACTTTAGAAAAGTTAACTATAATGAAGTTTTATGCTTTATTTATACCATAGAGCAAAAACTGTTCATTATAGAAAGATGTCCATTAATATATGTTTCACTGTAGTAGAAGTAGAAGTCAGCTAAGTCAAGAGTTTATATCTGGACCTTCAAGAAAGATGTAGTAGTGAGAAAGATGGGAAAACTGTAAAATGTCTTTCTGGGAAAACAACAAGCAAATGAAGAATTGCAATAGTGTGTATCTGAATCTGAGTTTACTAAACATTATACAAAACATTCACTTAATACATTTCTCCTTTCAAGAAATGTATCTAACATTAATTGAGGACTATCTGCATTAACAAATTATGTTATCAAAAAAAGCTTACCTGATTAAAACTATGAGATATCTTGTCTTGCATCTCTTCATCTTTAGTATTATCTTCCATCATCATGCTGTCTTCGTGAGGTGCAGAATTTCCAGTGACGACCGAATCCGTTTCGGCCGCATCGAGAGCCGCTTCCTGTACGGCTGCAATGGCATGCTCCAGTTGCGTCAGTTGTTCGTCTTGCTGCAGAAAAAATAAAACAAATAAATAAATATAAATAATGTTATATTCAAATAAAAGGGTCGCCAAATATTTGTACCTCGTCAAGAGCAGCTCTGCATGCTTCTACTATTTCTTTTGCTTTTCTGGTAAACTGACTTTCAGCTCCATTAAATGTTAAACTGTTCTTCCATAATAATTCCACATCATTATAAAAGTCTTCGCGATTATGATACTTATGTCCTTTGATATTCTGCAAGAAAGTATAACATTGTTTATATTTCTCAATATATTGCAACTATTCAGTAAATCATCAGAAAAAAGCTCCGACATGCCAAAAAACCTGATTATCTTAGCAAAATTATATATATTAGTATCTTTATAAGCAATATCATCACTATATCTTATCAGTATTGTAATTTTGGTATTCATCAAATGAAACAGATATATATAGAATTACTTTCCTGTCTTGTGATACTTAAGATATTTTTTTATGCCCATTATAGGTTGGGTCATGTCCACAATGGGTTAACCAGATGACAAGGATCACTGTAATATATCTAGATCAATTCTCAAATCCAAGTTAGTTGTCTTTCTGATGATCAGCTTGGACTTGAATGCAGAAGATTTGAATATTTTTCTGTGATGTATTGACCGATTATTATACTTTTATTAATTTTTTAAGATA